ATCCTTAAGCAGAAAGTACAGTAAAAATATAGAAAATATTCATACATGTTCATTCAAAGTTTTCTGCACCAGGGGCCAGCATTCTTTCAAGTAAGCTTCTCTGTACTTGGGGAAAAGAGTGGCAAAGCTGCTTTCTTCCAGAAGCCCTCTAGGGTTATCTTCTTTTGTAAAGGATGGTTCCTTCCATCCATCAGGGACAGTGAGAAGTTCAGATTCCTCTACTGTTAACAAATAATCACACATATTTTTATTAGAATAGCTGTTCTTACATAAAAAGGGGGTAAATACCACAACTGCTCTGAACGTTGTTGTTCCATGTAGGTAAACTGCAGAAGTTCAAGAATTGCACAGCTCACTAAGAGTCAGAGAGACAAATTAGTGCAAGATATCAAGCTGAAACCTTAAGAGAACAAATAACCTGGCTTCTCACTCTCACTAGCAATGCTCAGTCAGGAGAAAATGATACCCCTAGCTTTATACTACTCCACAGCATGCCTCTCTTCTCAATCTCTGCCACATTTCTTTGGGTCAGGAAGAGATCGTAGGCATGTGTATAGAAAGAGAAACAGTGTCCTTCCATGCTTTCCAACAGGGAGAATAAGGTAGCACACTAAGTTTATTGCTGTGATTTGGTATACTGTCTTGGTCTTCTTCCCCCTCCCTGAAAGAAAGAACAGCAGAGAAAGTGCATATGTAGCAGCCATACTCTGTCAGTACAGTTTCCCAGCTATTACAGACACCAGTGTTATGATGGTACCCATATTGGGATAGGAAAGGCACAAGTGGCCAGTCAAGCACATTTACCACAAAGTTTCTTGTCTAGAATAGACTGGTCTTCTTCCTAGGGAAACAAACAAGATGCTACATTGCAACTTTAGAACTATCAATGGGCTGTCAGGCATTATATAAAACATTGTAATACCCCAACAACTGCATTATTCCAAAGAAAATGATACCACTATGAATCATTTTGATCACATTTTGATATAAGCTTCTTCATAATTATTGTCATTATGCTGTTGGGGTAAAGGAAGGAATGAAAGCCAAATCAGGACCTTTCCATGCCAATAGAGGTGTACCATGAGAGACCATATATATGTTGTTTGCCTCTGCAAATGCCCCCAGGAATATTTAAAAGAGGCATGCTTTATTTTTCTTGTAAAATGCTGAACTGCTTTGACAGTTCAACTTGTACAGGTATCTCAACATGGACACCTATTTCCCCAAATTGTTACTTCCAAAATATACTGGGTTGCTAGTTTATGAGATCAGATCATGATAATTAGCACATGTGGATGTTGGCTGATTATGCCTCCAAACAGTCTCCTTTCAACAGAGAACTGTAGCCATTCGGGACCTATACTTACCTATTTAAAAATTATATTGCTACCCAGCACAAGATATCTAACAGCGACTTATCTCATGTTAGAAGAAATCAAATGAACCAGTACGGAAAATACAAAAGAGCTGTACATGTCATGTACCACGCTCTGTGGCTCCCATCCTCTGCACACCTACTTGCAGGGAGGCTCCCCGAAATCTTTCAAAGGCAAGATGCAGTGAGCTATGCCATACATTCAATGCAGTCTGTTCCGTTTTAAAACTTGACACTAGGCATCCCTGGTCTACCAATGCAAAGCTGGATGCTTCCCAAGGGTCCGATCGCTGAACTTCGTTGTGAAGCGGCGCGTGTTCCACGCGGCACGCGTGCGTGGAACACGAAGTGACCCCAAGGCGAACATCAACAGCACATAACACAATAGACGTCGCCCCCCCCCCCCCACGAAGAATCCCCGAAAGCCGCCTTGAGTAGGGAAAATGGCGTCACCTCTGCTCGACTGCTTGCGGGTGGCTGGGCGAGCCCGGCCCTCGGAGCTCCCCTTCGCGCCTCCAGGCTTCTCGGGGGCCGCCATGCCTCTTCACCCGGTGGTCGAGCCGCCACCAAGCCAGAACCCGGCAGTAGAAGCGCGAAACAAAGGAGCGCAATGCTCCCTGGGAGGAAGTGAGGGCCCCTTGGGTTCAAGTTTGCCGGACGTTGTGGCAGGCATGGTCGGATATAGTGATAGAAATAGTAGGATATAGAGATAGAAAAGAAACCTAAACTTGCGGAAAACAATTGAAATCCCCTATTGGTTCTTTGAACTGGCGGAATGACGTCGCGGTTTCCGTTGTTTTTGTAGAGGGAAGCGCGCATTGCTTTGTGTTAAAGTGAGTGGAATGCAATTTTAGGGTAGAGGTGCCAATATCGATTGAGGTGATGGGTGACTCTTCCCACTGCAACTCTATAGAATGATAGCGTTTCCATGCGTATGAGCCCGGGAGTGTTTGTGTGGCAGTGCATTGTGGGTTTTGTAGTGCAGGTGTGCCCCGCAGGACGTCAGTTTCTGAGCGCCGTGCACGTGGTATCCGTGCGTTGCTGCTAGCAACGCGACTCAGCCCGGATTCAGAGCTTGGCCGGCTGGGAGCGAAAACATCTCCGGTGGTTCGGAAGTGTTCCGGTCGAGATTTTTTGTAGCAGTTTAATGAGTTCCTGGCTGATGTCATTGGTCGAAGATGTACGGATGCTCCTGTCGCGTGCAATCGGCATCCATTAACCGTTCTTGTATGAATATAAAAAGAGTTTTATTTACGTTTCAGTTCAGTCTAATCTGGAGATCTGCCTAATTCAAAATTTTGCAATCTCGTTTTTACCAAGATAAATTGATCCAGCAAAAATTAAGATTTACTGTTAAAGATCACATTCTCTGGCACTAGCCAGCTAAGACCTTTATGCCAAATGCAGATTTAGTAAAATACGCACCTTGCAAGTGTCCAGACGCATCTGTGCAGAAGAAATTCACATTGAGATTACAGCTGGGAAATATTGGCCACGTCAGACTAAATCCCCTTGAACTCAATGACACTGATTTCCGAATAGATATGTAGAGAAGGTATTCGTTCCTGTTGGAACAAAATAATTGCTCTTTCCAGCAGCAAATAGGAAGCATCTATTTTTGCATGTGTGTTTTTATTGTTTATCATTCTAACTGGAAACTGCAAAGCACAGGCACCACACATTAGGCAGAAAAAGAAACGTGCTGTTGCATCCACTGAAAACACTTGCCAGGTTTATCCTCTGCATTTCACATTCAGGATTAGCCCCACCACTAGGCAGGCTGAGGCAGGAGACTCAGGCAGGAGACTCAATTGGCAGATGGTTGAGGATAGCTCCAGTAACTCGATGTTTCTGCTGATGCCCCTGGACATTTGCTCTTTTGAGAGGCCCAAGTTGTGTATGCTATAAAACCAGTTCTGATGCATTAATCTGACTTGCTGCTCTCAGGCATGGTGGAGGATGCTATGAAGTAAAATTCAACCAGCAGTGCAGCCTTTGTATGTAAAATGGAAGAGGGTGTTTTGCCTCAGGTAGCAAAAGTTCTTGGGGCAACCTTGTTCATACTGGTGTTGCATGGTGCTTTTTCTACTGCCGTTAGCATGTACAGCAGGACCTCATATCCATGGGGATAGGTTCCAAGGCCCCAGCAGATGCCTGAGACTGTAGATGATAGCAAACTCTTTATGCATATACAAGTGTGTGTGTGTGTGTGTGTGTGTGTGTGTGTGTAGGCAATTTCATGGATAGATTTTGTTCTTACCAAACATTCTAGTAGCCTTAGCATGCAATTTTTACAACTTCTCTTTGGGACTGAGGTCAACCACAATTAAGTGAAAACACAGTAAATGAACCAGTGGATTCAGGGGTCCTGACGTATGCAGCTTTTTAAAGCTTTATATTAGCCAATATATGTGCCAGGGATTTTTTTTTAATGTATTGATCTCTTTCCACACTTGAGAGAGCAAACTCACTGTTAATTAACCTACCAATATCAGGATGGTTTGTGTTATAATCATTAATTCTTTGTAAAAGGTCACTTTAAAGATTTTATGCATTTAAGCTGTGACATTAATTGCTACAGTCTGCACTTTTTGGATTTGATTTTGTTCAAACCTTACTCCATACAACCTCAGCCCCCCAGGACACAATCATGGGTAGATACCAGACAACCTTAGATAAAACTTCATGCATTGGATGAAATGGCCTCTAGGTGCCACAAGACACTTAGTTGTTTTCACCTGGCATCAATTTGGGGGGTTGCTTTAGGCCACTTTACAGATACGAATAAGAAAAAGTTCTTATTCTCAGACAATCGACAGGGTAACTTTTTATCAAGCAAAAACAATACCAAAACATTCTATTTAGTCATGGTACACATCTAGTCTTTAGTTCATTTAACTCCCTATTTTGTATATCTCTGTGTAGCACTTCACAGAAGGTACTCCATTTTGCCCAGCTATATGGTTATCCAAATGTTTTGGAGAAATAAATAATTATTATCTACTGTGTGTGTGTGCACGTGTGCAGAGGTGGGGTCATGCTGTATGATTATTATGGCTACAGTACACTGTTTTGGGATTTCTGCATGCCCTTTTCACACATAAGTCTTTCCTCCTGTACAGAACTTGCAGCTTATACTTGACTTGAGTCTGAAAACTTTTACGGCACTGTATTTAACAAAGAAACTGGTAGTGCAAGGCAACCAGGAACACCATGCGGGTGACTAAGAGGGTTGATGCAGGATGAACAGATTGAGGCATCAGTCCTTCAACAGCCCATTTGATTTCTGGGCTAGCCATAAAGGAAAACTACTTTCTCTATTGACTTGCATGAAAATACACAGGGCTGCAGAAGAAAGATGGGATGTCCTGTAAAAAGCCTTTCATTTTTAACATTCCATTGTCAGCCAAGAGATGAAAAAGCTGCATTTTTGTGCAAGTAATGGAAGATGGGGCTTTGCCTGTCCTGCAGGCTGCATGGCAAGAGACTCTTAGGCCCTGAGTAGGCTAATAAAATACTTTGCAGGTTTGTAGCCTTTGTTAGCTTATTCCCAAGATTATCTTACGGGTTTTCTAAGAGAACCGGTTGAAATTTGCTGTTATTTATTATTAACTGTATTCTTCCTGCTTTGGTGGTACAAATCAAGCTATCCCTTTATTAGCCCCACAACAATCCTAAGGGTATGAACGTCTGAGAGACCACCCAATGATCCTTGGAATCACCTAATCATCCTTTGGTGTCTAAAGAGATATTTGAGCTCAGGTCTTCTCAGTCCTAGCACACTAGAATTATTATTTTTCCTGCAGTTCTCCAACTGAGAATAAAGATAGCTCTTTGGCTCTCCTACTTTTATCGTAAGCCATGACCACTTAAGATAGTAGTTTTGTAAACATAGTGACCCTAAGTGTGTTACATTTGAATAGGCCACTCATATATTTCTACTAAAAGATTTCTTGACCTTTTGTTTTCCAGAGAAGGCACACACTAATACAGCCTCCCAAAAGCAGTTCATCTAGTGCCTTCCTTAAAATCTTTTTGGCATCAGGTTAAAACAGTTTTATTTTCCAGACATTTTGATAATTGATTTTATCGTGGTATTTTTTAAAGGTGGTTTTAATCTATGTTGTTTTAAAGTATTATCCCTCAGCTGTACACGGTTCTTTCCTCGCGGATATTGCAATATTTTATTTCATTGTTTTTACTGATACATTGTGTTTCTAGTTTATTGTAATCTGCTTAGCAAGCCCTTAGCAAGCCCTTGGGCTAACACAGCAGAATATAATAAATATTATTATAAATAATAAACAACACTTATAATACCCTTTTATAGATGCATACAAAACACAAAATTGCACTCAAAGAGCATTTATTCCCCTCTATTCTCAGAAACCCATAGACAAAGGATAAAGGAATCGGACTAGCAAATAATACTGCATTGGAGTCTATGGTGAGCCTTTGGATGGCTGGGAGACCTTCTGGAAAGGTAGGAGTCAGTAGGCCAAATGCATGCATTGCACCTGCAGTTTGACCTTCCAGATTGGAGCTCATGGACACATTGCCCAGTACTGACCACTATAATCTTGGCTCACCTTGAAGCTCAGTAGCAAGAAGACAAATAGTTAGTGAACCTGTAATGAATGCAGCTTCTTCAGTTTCCCATTTGTGCAGTCCTTTGCAATACGGAATACTATATATCCCTGACAAATTTACTTTCCTTTCCTTGCTAGGAACATTATGATTATTTCACACATTGCCAGTTTCTTGGAAATGGGTTATTTAATGTACCGGGAGATCATATTGCTTTGTTGGCTATACCGTCCTGCAAAATTCAATTACTTGAAGCACCATGCGACAGATACCTTTGTCTAGTGCTATGCAGATGATATTCACCATTACAATTTCCTAGTGCCCAATGAATCATACAGAAGCTTTGTAATTGCGAAAAGGTTACAACTCGAGAATATGAGGCTCAACTCTAACCCTGGAGAGCTTTTAAAGAACACACATGAATATTCAATTTGATCCCTGAAGTCTAAAATATGCTGATCTCGCTGATCATTTGGTGGAGAGTACTTGCCTGAATACCAAACAGGTATCCCGGGCTCCTTTTATTTGCATGTCAAACAGGACAGATCCTTGAATTCTGTTGTAAAGCAAGTCAGAAACAGTATTTACATGGCTGAGCCCCTTGGCAACAAAACACATTTCAGACAAATGTTTGGCAATTAATTTGGGGGAACTAATTAATTAGTGCTTACACTTACAAGAGAGTAAAAACCTTTGCGTATCACTGAGATTTGCTCACAAGAAAATGGACACCAGACAGCACTGTGTTAGCAAACTTACACCAGATAGCACTCATAGAATTACAGAGCAAACCTACATGTATCTGCTCAAAGGAAGCTCTTTTAGATTCATAGGTTTCACTTCCGTATGATTATGTACAGGACTGTAGCCTCACTCAATTATTTATTTTAGTGGGACTAAGAGAAAGAAACCTGAAAAATACATTCTCTTTAATGTCGCAAAATCCAACTCTGTTGTAGGCAACAGAGAAACATGGATCAACTCACAGGATCAATTCTCTAGCAGTAAAGTAATGTTCAGATACTTCATGTGTTAAAATAGGACAATGTGGCACATCCTTTGCTGGTCCTAGGGACTCTGTCCCATCAGGATTTAGACCTAAAGACCAAGAAAAAGTGTGAATGCATGGAGAGTAAGTTGTGAGTGAACACATTTTGTGACATCGCACACATAATTTTTGATCATGGAGCACATCTATAAAGACATCATGTTTCTGAGTGGCTCCAGAAAGTCCCTGTAGGAATGGGACAGTAGGAAAACAGATGCAGGGAAATGAGTCTCCACAAGTATCGATAATCATGATCTATAATGATTTACTTTTTTTCCATATGGTAAATGGGATACAGCCTGGACTATCCCCTCCCCTGATCCATATGCCTCAGTAAAGTTTAACCTTTGGGGTCTGCAAAGCCCACTGCTAATGTTCAGTATGGAAGAAGCAAAAATGGAGAACACAACTGGTAAATAGAAAGTGCTTTTTCCCACCCTACCACTAGGTGGGAGTCATTGTTCAGTTCCTTACTATTAGTTGTTCTAATTATGTCTTCTGTATTTTTAGTATTTTTATGGTTTGAAGAAGAAATTTGTTAGCCTTGCAGGAGGGAAATCCCACTGCTGGATTAGCCTACTAATAATAAAAAATAGAATTATGTAAAACCTTCAGATTGCTATCCTGAAACCTTCCAACAAGTGCTAAACTGGAATATAATTCATTAATAATGTAATCATTTCACAGAAAATTTCAGCCTGCATCTCATGGATCACAATTACAAAATATCTTTTTTGTATGCATGAATATATATAAATATATCTCTCTAAAAAACTTATGGTCTGCTAAACATGTAGTAATGGAAGAGCTCTGGCTATTGATCAATATAAAAATTTAATGAATTAATTTCCCAATCACAGAAGAGTAATCTGTCTGTCTGTCAGTCTGTTTGACTTTCTGTCTATCTATTGTTCTTAAAAATGTAATCAACATCAAGGCCTTTACATATCTGATGTCTGAGGAATGTTATTTTTAAAAGCACCATCGGAAACAGCAATAAACCCCCAATATATGTATCATTTCCTCTCCCAAGCCAGATATGAGTTCTTGCTTCTCAAGTATCTTCTTTTGAAGATCTGAGTCATTTGACCCGTGGGTGTCACTTCTTATTTTGCTGCAGACAAGATGCCAGAGGAGCAGAGGACCTAGAGTTGCCTTGATAGGATGCCTCTGCCTTTAAAGTGAGCATGCAGCTGCTGCATTTTTTTGTCTCCTTCCTTCACCAGCCCTCCCCCTGCCAACTGTAGGGGTTAATGGAGAGTCCTGCTGGCCAAAACAAACAGAGGAGTTGAATGAGCGGCTGAGAGAGAGGGATCCCTGGAGCAGCAGGGTGGAGGATACAGTGCCTGCAGCCTCTCTTGGTGTCATTGTGCTGTCTGTGAGGACCTGGAAAACCTTAAGCACTTCAGTTATTCTTCCCAATAAATAGGGGCATGCAAGGAAACTGCTCGCTTTCTAACTCGCAGATTAAGCCTATGCTTTTTTGTTTCCTCAGGAGTAGATCCCACTAAGTCCAATAGGAATAACTCCTAAGTAAATATGCATTAGAGTGCCACTTAAGCCCTTTATCAGGCAGGCTCAGGACCACTTCCACTAGCTTATAAAAGGACTATCAGTTTGACAGCATATCAATCTTGAGAGATTATTGTTCTGTTGACAAATCTGCAGCTTCGTCTTTTAGTTTTGAAGAACTAGCTCAAGGCTATAAGTTCTTTCATGTCTTCAGGGCAATGCAGTTTTGTACTTTGAAAAAAAGCACATTTATTTGCACTTATTTATACATTCATGGCATGCCTTTCATAGCTAGGACCCCCAAGAAAAATTACAATTAAAACTTTAAAACAATTTAAGAACTTTATAAAATTGCAACAGCAGAATTGTTACTCTAGTCAAATTTAGCTGTACCTTTTATTTGGATTTCCAATCAAGACACTCTAGTAGTTGGGATTTTTTGTTGCTCTTATGTGAAGCCAAATGAATGGCAAAGCAAGCAGCGATTGCTCATTCCAATAATGTCATCATGATGAAATATACTTCATAGTTCTCTAGCAGGGATGTAGAAACTCTTTTAGTCCAATGATTACATTCAATTTCAGAGAAATTTTCAGGGACCATGTTGCAGTTCTGGGCAGGGCTGAAGCCAAAAAGGGCAGTGCCAAACACAAGAAGTTTCCTATACACGGTGTTTATTATATACTTGAGATTCCATACTCACAGTTCTTCATGGGTTCTTCAAATGACATTGTGATCCTCCAGTTCCACTCATGTTTTATAAAGCCCAATCGTGGGGGTTTTTTTAAGAGCAGAAAAAAAGGGATATTACTTCTGAAAGGGAAAAATCTGCTTGTGTATTTGAGCTATAACACAGTGGGGCCTATTTGTTATGTAGCAGGGAAAAAGCAGAAAGAAAAACGTTTTTGTGTAAAACTCAGATCTCAGTTCTGAGACAAAAGAGAAAGTAGCTAAGCAATTAGCACACTCTTGTAGAAAAACTGAAAGAAAAAGTAGTAGTTTTAGCCTAATGTGGTATTCCTATGCACGTTTAGACAGATAAAAGGCCAGTAATTCCCAGAATTCAAAGTGCTATGACCTATAAGCCTTCATTGTATGACTTGGGACCTGTACACCCTGCAGCTTCATATCAGCTAATGTCACCTCAAGCTCACATGCTTTCCCATGGAGGGAGTCCATGCTAAGCACACATATCAGTAGCAGTTCGGTTTAATATTCTTATCAACAATTAAACATTTTGCAAATCCTTATATAAACACAGTGACCCTGAAATGACCAAATATTAACATCTAAATGAGTAAAGAAAAAAATGACAGTAAGTTCAGTAAAATATCCAGTATGAATACTAAATTGTTGGCTGTGCCACTCCTCTTCACCTAACAATAGCACCATTTCTAACACCATTTCTGCGTTAGTCAGATTCGTGCTGGAGTGTGAAGGCCATTGTTTCTTCAAAGGCCCTCGGGTTGCTGCCCTCTTTACCCTAGCCATTCAACTAGGAAGGACAATTTTGAAAGACAAATCTTGTCCTTTGGACCTTGCCAACAATGAAGGGCATCATCCAATACTCAACCCTGGAAATGAGCAGAAATGTTTGTTTCTGGAATGGGACTGTGGTTATTCTGACAGCCATGTTTTCCTACCCAAAGTTTCCCTTGGCATAATACTATGTGATGATGCAGCACAGTCAAGCAGACATTTTGGGAATGGTGGAAGCAACCTGGAGACTACTGGGCAACCTGCTGCTTCCATACAGGAAAAGCAACAACCAACCACATGTGGGAGATTTTTAAAAATTAAGCCATGACAGACTGAAGCAGAAGGCAAACAAATCCAATCCCCTGGCTTTAAAACACAAACCAGCAAACAGAAGCCAAATCCTAAAATCCAACTTTGAAGGAAAGCAACATTCTGGATTAGACTGGCTCCTGCTCCAAATTGGATTACTCTGGAGGAGGAAGAGACTAAGTTCTGATTGAGATGCAAGCACAAAGCAAAGAATTGTATGCATTCTTCACCACATGCACACTTTTTCTTTTCTTAAAAAGTGGACGAAGATTTACAGAGGCTCGGTGGTTCACTGCCCTCGCTGCTTTTGTCCCCCACTGTCCATACCAGGAAGAACAATTTGATTATGGCTATCCTCATGGTTGCTCATATTAAACATGCAAAAAATAGGTGCCTCTCAATTGGTGGAGGAACCTAATATGTCCACCCAGATACTCTGCCTGAATTCATGCCCCTGAAGGAATATCTCTGGGGGTGTGCAACACATGTGCACGCACATTTAGCCCAGCCTGCCAACTGGCACAGAGCTGGCTACTGCGGGGAAGAGAGAATGACACATAAGGAGAAGCGTACCTCAGCCCTGGACTCAACGAGAGTTTAAAAAAAAACATGGGAGTAATGCTAGACAGATCTTTGAGCTGTTCCTGTTAAAGCACCATCCTCTGTAATTGTGATCTAAATGTCTACCTTCCCAACCTGGTATTGGAGAGTCTTTACTTCCTTACACTTTACAGCACTCAGTGGTTTCAGTGGAAGAGAGAATATTCTTAGATGTTGCTTTAGGACTTGCCTTTGATCCTAAGGAAGACAGAGATACTTTGAAGGGCAATTAATCATTCAGCAGTTACTGTATATGTGAGCAGCTACCGTATACGTGAAAGCAGCACCATAGACTACTAAGTCCAATGAATGGGAACTACATGGGGCAAGGGAAAAAAGTGGGATTTGATTCCTGAACTCATATCTGTAATCCATTATTCTTCCCATTTATGTCAGTTTAATCATCATGCAATGTAATATGAAAATATGAGAGGACACAACTAAGTCAACCTGCATTTCTTCCTATTTGCAAAAGCACACACCCTCCCAGCTTAATGCCTTCTATGGCATTAAGCCATAATGCCTTCTATACCTTCTATGGCAGTCACCTCAGAGAAATACTCCTCGACCTTCCCTGTTTCACACATCTTTACCTTCATTCTGTTGCTGCTACAGCAACATTAAAGCCGTTTGATCACTGTGGCTGATGTCAGGCGTACAATCTTGAATGACAACCTTATTTTGTCATGAACTTCAGGAGAATCAAAATCCTTCGTTTGACTTCAGCTTTGACTGTAATTTGTTCTTATTTCAAATTGTTTTTCCCAGATAGTGTATGTGTGGATTTCTTATAGGTTTGTGTTTTAGATGCTCCTTGGGCACAGAAGCAAACTCTCCCATCAAGCTCACAAGTTACTATTGGCACATACAGCTGTCTCATTAAGTGCCAGATAAGTGCTCCATATCATTGAGGATCAAAAAACACAGGGATTCCAGAGCAAATACCATATTCCTGGTATGTGCAAGTGGTGGTAAAGAGAATTACAATCCAAATACTGTCTAAGCCCTCCCACTCTAGAGCACCAGCAAAAGATGCAATCCTAATATGAGGATTGCCTCCTACCTGCCAGGATTAAGTCAGCAAGTTAACAGTATTTCAGTCTGTTCCATCACTTCTACTCCCCATAGTTCCCCATAGTTCATAGACATCCCCCCAACACTCTGCTCCTATCTTCTTTGCCCCCTAAGCTGGGAGTGGGGCGTGGCAACCAATTTCCTCCTGTTACAAGGGAGACCTTCAAGACATCTCACCACACATCTGCCGTGGCCTCTCCCTTCACTTATACCCAGTAACCCCTACCCTCTGCATACCACTCCCCTCCCAATGTCCTTACAGATGGAAGTGGGGTGTTAGGACCACCTCCAATGACATGTCAAAACAAGGGCTGCAGGCTTCCCAAACTACCTCCGGTGTGAAAGACAAGATGTTGGGGGCCTACATCAGGAAAAGTGGGAGATGGACTAGCCGTAGATCATTCATTGTATCTGCAGGAATAGTGACCCCATCTTCCTCTTTTCCAAAATTCTCCAGTAGCTAGCCCACGGTGCCACAGAAAGGGGAAGGTAATTCTGTCTGCAGCTAGGTAAGTGTGGAGAAAGGTGATTCTTTACAGTCCCTGTTCCAAGATCAAAAGTTCCAAGCAGCACTTGCAATTGAGCCCAGAAATGGACCAGGGGCCAGCTCAGCTGACAAACACTGAGGTGGAATTGGAGTGCTCCATGCCAGTTGGCAATCTAGAAGCTCCATAGCTTCCTGCAGCTGCTGAACTATCTTCAAAGGCAATCCAATGTACACAGTTCTAATCACACATAAGATATATACACCAACAAAGTACACAGATGTTCTTTTCTTTGCATAGATCCTCTTCACATTAATGCATGCATGGGGAACCATTAACCCTCTGGTTGTTCTGGACTGTTGGACTCCAACTCCCATTAGCTATTGGTTGGGATCACGGGTGTTGTAATCAAACAACATCTGGGGGGCAAACAGTTTCCCCACCCACTAGTGAGAATTTTAAAATAAAGCTGAAAATATCCTTTTTAAAACATTTTAAAAGCATCCCTTTTCCCAACTGTAGTTTGTTCTAATGAAGATATGGTGGGTAGTTGGGAGAAAATAAATTAAGAGCTTTTCCATACAATGCTGTTAATACTTTTGAATCTATTGCAGAATTAAGATCGGAATATCATTTCCTTTGCTGATTTTCCACTACATAACCTTTAGGTGGCAGTGTGGTACAATAGATTAGTATAAAAACACATGAGGAAAATGCTGTTTCTTTTGCCTTCACAATTAAATGCTGCATTTTCTCTGCCATTAAAAATGCTGAAATTTCTAGTTACACACAAGTGCAAAAATGGAAAGTCATCATCTAAAGAACCTGTAGAAAACATGAGTAGGGAATGATGGATCCAAAACAAATGCCTTGTGCAGAAAAGCTCCAAGTGAAACACAAATCAACAGTTAATAACAGAGAAATCAGAAAAGAGATAACCACAGAAGTAGACATTAAAATAAGTGACCTTCTCAATAGTTACCAGACAAAGCATTTTCCAATTGCTGTGCAGAATGCAGCCCAGATACTTCTCAAGCTCATGAATAGGAGATTTGGTCCTGATAAAACAGAATAGTTGACAATGCAGCTGCTGTCAGTTGTAATCTGAGATTTCAGGGGATGGAGGATAATCAACAGGTGGCATTTACAGATTGTTTAGTAATCACTTAAACTACTCTTACTTGTCAGAGCAGTAAGATCCCACTGCAATCTCAACCCCAAGCCCTGCAAAGCATTTAAAGTCAATGTTTAAAGTAAGGTTAGTGTGTATTCCCTGTTAAGTCAAAGGAATAGCTCACATACTTAGTGAAAGAAGATAACTGTATTTAGAAAAGCTGGATGTCTCAATAACAGCACACATGCTATGCTTTCTGTGTACAGGATACAGGTCCTGCGGCATGTTCATATAAAGAAGTGTGGCTGCGGACTATAATGCACCCCAGAATTAAATAAACAATATGAGTCATTCATCATATCTCCATCAATGCATATTATGGGTTGGGTGGATGGAGGGTGTCCCATGTGAGGATGCATAGAAAATGAGAGGGGGAGAGAAAAGAGAAGGTGTTCCCTGAGATTGTACATGTCAGCTCTTCAAAATACACAGGGAAATCCTGCATTTCAGGAGGAGCTATACTGCAAAATTAGCGTAGTCAGGGAACCTACTGTAACTCTGTGCTGCCAGCAAATGTGAACTGCAGAAAGCAACATGTAGATTAAAGCTCTCTGTCCTGTCCAACTCAAAGTTCCTAGGATAGTCAATCTAAAGCAGTTCCATGCAGTGGAAGGGAAAGGTAGTATCAGATCTGCCTATCGGGTGGTATAGCCCTCTGCTGGCTATGATTTACTAAGAAAGAACTCTTGTCTCAGCAACATGCAGGACTCACAGGATTAAACGTGCTGATAATCCTGTCCCCTCTGAGGAGCTGCCTATTTCTATGGCCCCTGTAGCAGGGACTTGGTGAGGACTGCGTCAGGAGAGTGGCCTCTGAATTCAAGGAGTCTGGTCAAGCTTCATCCTCCAGTCTAGGAGGCCTCAGAGTGCCAGATGATGGGTTTCACAATGAAGTCTTCCTCTGCCAGAGTTGGGGGAAAGAATCACAGCTCAAGAACATAACTCATTCAACTGGCTAAGGCTATGAGAGGCTGAAAAGGGAGCAAGGAACCTGCTACTGCCATGGCCCTCCCTGAGCTGAGAGGCTGATCAGGCAGGGAGAAACTGGCTTCAGAAGGTGCTCATTCCCCACTCCTGACATGCTCCCCTTTAGCCTGCCACAAAGCTCCGTGTTGGCTTAGGAGGCCAAGGAGAAGAGGAAGCACTTTTCCTTAGCTTAGTGCTATTGTACAAGCTTGCACCCAAGACGAGTCTTCACCATGGCTTCAAGCTATTGCAAAGACTGCACAGCCACCCTCGTAACCTCTCCAGGTGAGCCGGGAATGCTGTGTTGAAGCCTCCCTAGACTGAGCTCTGTGGAACTGGCTGTCTGGGGAATCTGTCTCTGCTTCTTCTCTGGAGCTGGACATTTCCTGGCTAGAGCTGAGAAACAGCAGTGCTGGCTGTTGACCTTTCCCGAATGAGCTACATGCTGCTGAGCCCAGGCATGCTTCCACAGAAATGGCTCCTGGCAGTACCAATCCAAAGACATTAGGAAGTGCTATTTTGTCTTTTGCTCTTTAATAATTGTTGGGGTGGGAAGCATGAGGATAGAAGAAGGAACAGGAAAGCACAGGAGGGCTGCAAATGGAAGATTACGTACTCCTGCACAATAAAACTGCATCTAGAGGCACCGTAGGGAGAGTTGACCGAACTTCTGTTGCAGTGGCTGCAAACATGAGTTCAGGTTCAGATTTTCCCCGTGAAAAATGGGGGCTGCAAGGGAGAAAGGGCCTCACTATTTAAAGGGCACTGGAACTGGCAAATGAGGATCCTTATCTGCTGAGGCCAAATGCCCTTCCCCAGCAAAACGTTGTCACGATACCCTCCCTGTTATATACTGTTAAGAGATCCTACAATGGCTGGAAGGGTAAGTAAGTATGAGGAACCTTGATCAATGAACAGAATTGTGTTTATTGTTCATTGAGGAGGAAGCAGTGCCCATCTTTAAAAAAAAAAAGCTGACACGGATGAAGAGAAAAACAAAATGTGTTTAAATGAAAATTTAACATAATCAGATGCAAATGAAGACAGGATTTCCATACTTTTAATGGCTGTGTGAAAGAGAGAGATGGAGCTGCTTCTGCAGAGGTACAAATAACTGCACCTGCCCAGATTTTCTCTTTATACAGTTGTTAAAGTACAGAATCACAGTCTTTCTTTGCATCTGGCAATACTGCAACATGATCAAGGGTAAAAGTTCATGCTTTGTGTAGAATGCATAGCAAGAATCCAAAGAGGAAGTGCCAGGGACATCTTCTGTCTGACAGGAAGCCGCTCACACATTCAGCTTGTTGTTGCATGAATGATAGATTTAAAACACAAAACAAAATATTTTGTTTTCAATGTCTCAAGCTGGCCTTAGTTCAAACTGCTTAACTCCTGCTCTTAAATGCATCTCAGCTTCAAAAAGCACAGTTCTTCAAATCTGTGTCTAGCAACCATGTCTTCTGTTCAATTTATTTTATTGTAGGCCTAATCCAGATTTCAATCCCACCCCCCATCCCACCTGACATCTGAGCCAGGGATCCTACATCTCTTCTAGAGTAAAGAGGACTGGGGAGACATCACTGTCTTGGCATGGGGTGTGGTGTATTTTCTGTGAAGAACTGTTTGGCAGCATAATTAATCCGACAGTATGAGAGAAGAACAATAACAACCCATTC